CCCATGAATCATTAATATGGAGCAAAATATTATGGATGGAAAATATTTTTTATTCACATTTTTGTAAGAGTATTAATAGTTTAAGGTTGTAAGAATTGTTTCCCCGACATAGCGTTCGTTTTCTGAAATGTACAGGAGTTCGCGAACAGATTGTTTTCTTTTGATTGGTCACTGGGGACAAATTACCCTTGGTGCTTAAATAATTAATCTTTCTATATAGTGCCCATTCTTGGCCCTAAGCCTTGTTTTCATGAACTTCTAAGCATGATATGAGTCCATTATATGGCATGTCAAACTATTGATTCAAATGTTACTTGCATGGTTTCATGCATCTTTTATTAAAAAAAAAAAAATTGCAGGAGAACTATATCAATTATAGGCCAAGTTCAGCTGGGAAAGATGATAATGGTTTGAAAAGGATGAGTCTCCTTGCCCGGGCTGCTGAGTCAATTGCCAACGGTGATATTATGAATGTACAGATTCGAAGATATCAACAGTGGCAGCTCTCTCAAGCTAGCTCCCTTTCATCTTGTATAATACCGTGAGTTTTCTACAAAAGTGTTTAGTTGACTCAATGAGATTCATCCCATTTTCATCTGATTTGTGGTTTTTCTTTCTAAATGAACTCATCCTTTCTTCTTCTGTAGTGCTTCTTTGTTACATGGGCAAAGAGAAACACTTGAGCAGGTGATGAGTCTTTCCTTATGATATTTCGACTTGTATTGACAATGCTTCCTTTCTTCAGTGGGGTTTCCAAATTAAAAACCATTTCTCTTTAAAGTTGTGTTACTGAGTATTCTCTTTAAATAGCTGGAATGGATTTTAGTGCAGTCTGCCACATGCCAAATCACATTAGATTTTCATTTAATTTGTCAATATTGATACTTAATGGTATGTTCAGCCCCTTTTGCTCAGTATCTTGATTTATGAGGATTTTTTTACACGAGTACATGCTGGAACTTAGAATGATCCTTCTTGAGATTTTATGTTTGTCTTGGAGTAAGCTCTGTTTTTTCCTGATTTATGGTTTAATTTCAACCCGAGGACAATAACTGTCCTAATTTGGTTGTATCCTCCTGTGACTTTTTGTCATGTATGTTGACGTTCTTGTACGAGTTTTTGCTAGCAGGAAAATTATTCTGACATAACCAGTATGGACTAATAGTTGCGTCTATTGATTACAGGGAGAGCGCAACTTCAATAGGTTTGGTGGCTGGCTGGGAAAGAACTCCACTATGGGAAAGAATTACAGACTTTTAGAGGACATGCATGTCCATCTACTTGCATCTCGTGAATCTTATTTGGGCAGGTATATTTTTCAGTGTACTTCAATAGGTTAATGTATTTTGAAGTTATGAGTGAGATACATTTGGTTGGTTATTTATATTTTCAGTCTTGGCTAAATTTGGCTGGAGTAAAAGGTTTTTCTTAAATGGGGATGAGGGGCACTGTGTGTGGCATTTCAAGTCTTCGATGTTAATGACTGATCTTCAAACTTGTTCTTCTTGTGGACTTGATTATCTGGTTATCTGTAGACTAATGATTGTAGTTTCTTTTCTATTTTAATGTTCTGGTCTATATGCTGCTTCTCTGGTATAATTTCAGCTATGATGAGTATAGAAAAAAGTTGTTTTACTTCTCAACAGTGGAGCTTCATTATTATGTTTCTTGAATGTTTCAGGTCGACATTGCGATTGGACTACCTTACTCTTCTTTCTAAGCAGTTGACCCATCCAGTACGAGTGCTGCCCAAGGTTTGATGTTCTTTCCTTTGTTATTATAACCGAGTTACATGTAAAATTGGTTGTGAAAATATTTTCTGAGTATAATCACCAGGATGAAGCTGTAGAGAAGGTAGTAAATTTCATGGATTCATACTCCATCAGTCAGGAAGATTTTGATACTATATTGGAGATATCCAAGTTCAAGGTATAGCTAGTGTACATCATGTACTTTGCTTTACTTCTTTTACTTGCTCGAAAATGCTACTTATAAGTCCATTATCAATGTGCATCAGGGGCATCCAAGTCCTATGGATGGAGTTCAGCCTGCTGTCAAAGCTGCTCTAACAAAGGCTTACAAAATAGGGACGGACTCACGTAAGATTCGGACAGCGGATATGGTGACTGTCCAGAAAAGAGATGGAAGCAGCTCACATGTGATTAAGACTGCAGATATGGTTCCTGGGACAAAGAAGGCCCTTAAGAAACGGGTTGCTGCAATGCTGGAACCAGTGGAAGAAAGTTTAGCAGAGGAGAATGGTGATGCATTAGAAGAAAATGAAGAGAATTCTTCAGACGCAGAAGACTTGGGTATTTTCCCTCTTCAATTTTCCCTTTTCCAGCCAAAAAATGGATAAAAGAAGTCCATTAAGAAGATTTCTTTGCATGACTCAATTGTTGTGCCAAAACTTCTCCTCTTGTGGCATGACATGTCTTCCAATATGGAAGTCTTTTAAAGAGAATATATTAGATCAAAAGGGCTTTTTTTGGTTGTTTCTCAAAGTTTATGTATTTATTCATTTCTTGAGTATGAGCATTGAAAAAGGTCTCTAGTGCTTAACATAACTGTTGCTAAACAAGCATGCACTTAATTAACAATCTATCTTTTGATATTAGTTGAATATGTAAGCTTATGGATGCATTGTGTGTACTTTGGTAGCCTAATTTGTACAGCCAGGGCAATTCTCCAGACTCTTGATCTATATTCTGAGTTCATCTTGACTTTAAAATGTCAAAAAAAAAATTGTCCTCTTTCCCCATTTTCTGGAAAACAACTGGGGAGAAAGAACCAAAGAGCCAAAAATTGTCCTGCAGAAAAAAGAAGGTTTTGCCAGAGAATAATTTATGGTAAAAAGGAAAACAAACATGGGAGAGAAGAAAATACTGTGCAACTATGTGTACTATATGCTTATGTCTTGCTTCTCTGAGAAACTTTTAAAGTTGGACTCTGTTAATTGATTACAGTTTAATAGAATTTAGCTGTTGGGAATTGTGTGCTGCTCCGGGCAAGCATGCATTTGACTATCAATCAGTATAGTCGTTTTCTCATCTGCCTTGGAAGTCCTTGCTTTAGGAAGTGGAACATCTGAATGTCCAATATTCTGACGGTTGTCTGTCGCTGTTGCCTTAATTCATCTAAAATACTTGTGTTGTAGTATATAAGTTTTCAGAAATTCAAATAATCAAGCTACTGACTTTTCCTTGTGCTGCGGCAGAAGACTCAGATAATACAGATAAAGGGCTGCAAGCAGATCTCCAAAGCCTGAAGTCGAAAGGTTGGTAATTTTATTCCTACAAGCCACTAATTTTTATTCCTATAATTGATCTTTAATTGCTTTAGCAGGCATTCTGTCTTTACCTGTAGTGCATGCCATTGCTTTTTCTCTATTGTTGCCTCTGATATTTTTCCTCTGAATACTTTTAGGCATTGAAGTACAACTGAACTTGAAAGGTTCTGAAAATTCGAGTGCCAAGAAGGGATCTTCAGCAAGAGGAAAACGCAGTTCTGAACCTGCAGAAAAGAAAGGTGGAGGACGGGGATCCGGATCTGCGTCCAAGAGGAAGAGATGAAAATTTAGTTGGTCAAGACTTTTACTATCAGTTTGACTCGACGTCGGTTGTGAATAATGTTTTTGTCATTGCCGCCCTCGTTTTGGTTCTGAAGTTTAGGGTGGTTGAAGGTTGCAGCTATATGTAAAGTTGATCACTTTTTCAGTTGTTTTTTTTTTTTTTGAGCAATTGCTTTCTTAAGATGATCTCTTCTAGTGTAAAACTGGATTCTTGTTACACTACAGATTTTGGCTTCTCAATTGTATTTGCCTCTCTGTTTAGTGTTCTCTTTGGCATTCAGACAGCTAGTTCATGCTTCTTGCTCTTCTCAAAAGAATACCCTGGATCAGGGATTTGAAAGAGAATAGGTTAAACTGATAAAGGAAACATATCTTCAGTGGCATTTGCCTTGATATGTATTCCTAGGATCTGGTGGGAGTTGAGTTGTACATAAGCTTTTCCCATATTGCAGGGTCTCTCCATTGGCGCGTACGCATTCACCAATGCGGTGATTGACTAGTAAACATTCTAATTAGCTTGTGTACACATTCACTGGCTAACTTGTCCTACAACGTTGCTCACTTTGACAGTAAACAACTAGGAGTTTTTTGTATCATTCACTCATCAAGAGCGATAGGATTAAAGTTTTCTGTAGGTTTGAAACTTGTACATCTAATCCATAGAATTTAAGGAGATATCCTTTGAAGGATATAAGTTACTAAATGAAGAAAAAGATGGATATGGTTATCGGGAGAAAAAATTGTCTTATTATTTAAAATTTTTTTTTTCCAATCACCTTTTAATCTGATATTTATCACATTAAAAAAATTCTACAGTAACAAATGCCAAAATTTTTGATTGAGAAGGAAAACAAAAAAGAATAATAACATTTTTAAATTTGTAAAATACTAAGATTTTCTCTTGACTAAAAAGTAGGAAAAAATAGTTTGTATACTAATTTAACGAAAAAGTGGCTCGTAAAAATAAAAAAAACCTAGAGCATAGATCTTTGTAGATTTATTGCTAAGTATGGAAAGACACGTGCTTTTCATTTTATTTGTTTACAAAAAAAATAAAACAATATAAAAGTCTAAAAATATTAATGTGTGAAATATGAAATAGGATGCCCTCCCATCCTATTATCCTTTTTTTATCATGTTCAATCTCTTTTAGTTTTAGATTAGGATGTATAACTTTATCTAAAACCTTTAACAACACAACGAGCATTTGTTCAACATAGATGAAAAGCAAAGAAATCGAAAAGACAACCAAAAAATGAAAAAAAAAATGACAGAAGGAAACTGAAAAATCTATAACAAAATTAATTTAAAGCTGGGATTCTTTTCGAGATTTTATTAAGGGAGTTAAATTAATACTGCATGAATTGTTTCGAGTTAATAATGTTCGAACCAGATGAACCGGGTTGAAAACTTAGACCAGGCTTACCTTCGCCACGCTCCCCAACCTTAATCAGCAGCCCACAAAGGCAAAGGTGGTACTGCCATCACTATCTTCATAAAAAAGATCAAAAATTATCAAAATTATTGCCTACCCATTAACCAATTGATTGATCAATCAAGAGATTGAATCCATGGCTGAAGCTGAAGCGGCAGAATCTCAAAAGGGTTTCTTCAAGAAACACTGGGAAGGATACAAGGAGTTCTGGTGTGAAAGATTTTCCTTTTTGAACAACTATTCCAGATTTATCAAGCGTGAGAAGCCTCTTCCCTCTTGGACTGATTCTGATGTTGAAGAATTCATTGCCTCTGACCCTGTTAATGGACCAGTTGTATGTTCTTCACCTGAATCATTACCCCTCTTTTGTTGATAAAAAATTCATTTTGTCATCTGGGCTTTTCTTGATTCAGATTGTATTTGGTTTGTTATGCTCTTTTTGGTCTAATGATTGCTAGTAGGTTGGTGGGTTTTTGATGAAATTGAAATTTCGTGTTCGTTTTTTGGTTTCTAAGGTGGGATTTTGAAGATTTGTAGGCGTGTTTTGTATTTGTTCTGTTTAAGGAGTTGAGACCAGAGTAAAATTCGATTGGCTGAAGTTGCATGAATGTGGGAAGTGTTGTTTGAAATGGAAATTGCTTCGAGGAATATGAAGATATCCTACTTTGAGTTCGCAAATACGGAAATGGAGAATATTCAATCTGGTTGGGTTAGGAAAAGGATGATCAAATGGTCAGTCTTGTTCATTCGTACAGTCCATTTTCTGCCGAGTAGAAATGACACAAGCATAAGCTCTGGAAGTTTATCAACATGATATTTTGCATTTGATATTGCGATAGCAGATAATTAGTTACACTGTTTTTGCTGTTATATTATTCACAGTGGCGAAGTTATATGCTCACGGCCAATGTGGGATGAGGGCTTTCCTTGATTGTTGGGCTGGGGAGCTCAAAATGTGTTTAACTGATTCAATAGTTATCCCATTAACTACTTATTAATTTTATCATCTAATTGAAGTTAGTGGGATAGGATAAGTTCTATACCAATGCCACTCATTAATCTAGTTAATACTGGATTAGGAGTTTGCTTATTTAATAGGCTCAGGAGCTTGTAATGTATGTATCTGGTTCAATAGTTCTATCTTTGGCGGATTAACATGATATATACCCGCAAAGTGTGTGATTGGGTCTTGGTTCCTTCATCTTTGATTAACTTGTCCCTTTCAGAATCAGTTCAAGTAGTAAGCCAAAATTTCAGCACAAACAAGTTTTGCATTTCTCAATTAGCTTGGTTTGTTTTTTCTCTTATTGATACAAGTATGATGGTAGTTTTTAGGTATCAATGACAGTTGGGTCATCTATGTGTATTGGAAGCTGAATTGCAGTCCAAAAGCTTGGTATAACGTGCAATTGAGCATTTAAGCAATATATGTTGCTTCAGATCATTTTTTGTATAATCTTACATGGTTAATTTTGTAGCACAGTTGGATGCTTTGAGTGACTTTGCTTCATTTTTATACTTTTTATAGTATCTTGTTTCTATCTTTTTCGTGTGTTTTGAATCTGAAGTACTTATCCTCTGTGAAAGCATATCTCAAGATCAATTTTCTCTTCTCGACCAGAATCTTTATCATCAATAATTCTTTTCCTAATTCCCCCTTCCATCCAGCTGGCATTCATGCTGTCAATTAGTATTCAAAGTAAGACTGGAACCCACTTTACTTTATGACTCCTTAATTACTAGCATTGGCATTAAGCTCAGCAGAATGTGTTGATGTCCTACATCAGTTTCCGTTTTCTCAATCTAGAGGTACGCATGAAACTGTTGCAATAATTATTGGAAAAACTAAGAAAAGCAGGAGTACAAAGGACCACCCACTTTCAGCTTAGTCCAAAGGTCATGCTGATGAATCTAACCACAATATGGGGGTCATAAATACCTCTAAGCCACCTTGGCAGGTTCCATAAATTTTTCAAGAAGTTGTGACGTGGTATTAAGTATAGAAGTTGCTGAAGTGATAGAAATCCCTGTAAAGATTTTGAGTAGTGCATTTTAAACCTTACTGGCTGCAGGCAACTAAGTTGCTGATTGACTTGTTACTCTCTTTAATCTGGTCCACTCTCCCTCTCCCTCCCTCCCTCTCTCTCTCTCTCTCTCTCATATGCCTATGTGCAAGTGTTGTGTGGATCAATTCAACTAATGAATTAATCCTCTTAGTCAAGAGAACTTCCAGGGGAGAGAGGGAGAGATGGGGGTTGGAGGGGGGGGGGTGTTACATGTGTCAGTTGTAAACAAAAAGTTTGAAAAACCACCCAGATGTCATCTACCAGTATGCCGTATTTTTATAAGGACGAGAAAAGCATCGAAGTACATTTGTTCCTCTTGTTTTGGTTCCGTGCTTTGATGAGTAAGTTTGCGAGAATGCCTGCATTTCTTGTATACTTGGCTTATTTTATTTAGTGCTGTTCAGCAAACTTGGTACACGATTTTGAAGTATTAAGATTTTAGGTCTTGCTCCTAAAATAGTTTTGAATGCTTTAAGAGTTGTTTCTCAAGTCATACTTGTTATTTTAAACTTCTTCCTAGTAATTATTGCTGTTGTTCATATATTGATTTCTAGACTTGTTTGCCTTTTGTCTTGTTATCTTTCAGCTTAAAACTGCTCGTGAAGCTGTTAAATATGGTGCTGTAGGCAGTGTTGTAGGGGCAGTTACAACAGCAGGCTGGGCGTGGAAATACTCGAGAAGTCTCCATGGTAATTTCTTATTTGATTTCCTTTGTCTTTAACACTCTTTAGTTGCCAATGAACTATGATGATGTGGATAATAATGTCTGTAAACTCGAGTTTGTATAGTACCATGGAGATGGTTCTGTTAAACAGATAGAAATAGTTTCATTTGCATGAATGCTCTATTTGGTTAAATCTTTCTGCATGTTAGAATATGATAGAATGCAGGCAGAATATTCCAAAAGTTTCTGCAAACTGAACTCTTTAATCTGCAGGAGGGAAATGTAACTGAACCTCAAATTTCTTATTTTGTCTTTCACAAACTTTTAGCTGAATATGATTGCTGTATGTATTGCTGCATGACTCTATATCAAGTACATGGCTTAAAGTTAGTGAGCATGCAGTAGTGTAGTCTTCTTGGGTTGGTTTTTCAATCAAGACTATCAAATGAGGATATTTTGCTCAATTAATGTCATCAAGGACAAATTGTATTCTGTAAACAATTGCAGAGGTTCAAGATCATGTGCTAACCAATTTACATTGACCTTGAGATTCTCAGACTAACTTCTGTCAGTATTAGCAGCATGCGTTGTGTTTTGTGTTATAATTTAAACCTACCTTCACTGTTCTTTTCGGAATAAAACCTTTCGGATGGTCAAACCTTAGGAACTCGATAGTGGTGACCTTTTTTTAAGATAAGAAAGAAGAGGCTGTTGGATATGGAACAATTCCGCATTCTCATGTAGATGACATCTGTTTCTGGCTGAAACCAGCTTTAAACTGTGGCGCTGTAAAATGATTTGCAGTGAAGAAACATAATAAAGTTTTCATGAGCTTTAGGTTCTGTATTTTTGGCTTTCTGGTGCAATTACTTTTGAAGGCAGTTCTCTGTAACTTCTTTCTGTCAAGAGATAGTCATCCACATTGTCATGTTGGTTTCTTCTGTTTATTGTTTGCTTACTTCCTGAAGTGAAATAGGAACAAAAAAATTAGATGTACTATGAGGCAGAAGACAATTAATACTTCTAATTTTTAAGGGTAAATTACATTTTACCCCCCTATGATTTACCCTTTTTTTACATAACCCCTATGGTTTCAAAAGCTATACATACCCCCTCATAGTTTGGATTAAAGTGTCAAAATAACAGAATAGTCATGTAACGGAACTTTAAATGTCAAAATTACCCTTTAATACGCACATTAAACCCCCTATGATTTTTATATTTTACCATATAACCCTTATAGTTTAATACTTTACCATATAACCCTTATAATTTTCAAAATATACACATAACCCCCCTTGGTTAATACATAAATTTCAACCTTACATAAGGGTATTTTTGACATTTTAGGTGACGCCGTTACGAGTGACTATTTCCGTTACTTTGACACTTTAATTCAAACCATAAGGGGGTTATGTATAGCTTTTGAAACCATAGGGGAGTTATGTGAAAAAATGCTAAACCACAGGAGGGTAAAGTGGAATTTGCCCAATTTTTAATGATGAAAGGATGTAATCATTGTTAAATTGATATGGTGTTCCAACCTCAATAGTCAAGTGATCAAACATGACCTTTGAAATAACTTAGATTTGCTATTTGTCTTCTAATTTCTTCACATGACCATGTGAAGCAATTTTGTCTACATATCATTTGAGATCAAGTTTACCATCCTAATTATGTTTGGGATGAAATGCTCTTAAATCACTTTTACAACTGAATATGGAGTGATTGATACTTCTTTTATGATGTTCCTGGTGCTGAGTTGGGTCATGGTCGTTTCAAGGTCTCTTTTTATTGCCATGGATGAAGCTGACCAAGCTGATGACAAAGGGGCGCATAATGGGAGCAAAACTCTAGGGGACAAAGGAGCAAAGCTTGGTACGACTCCAGATCACAAGTCTGAGGAGGACATCAAGGAGGGGGATAAGACTCCAGTGGACAAGACAGGTGACAAAGAGGCAAAGAAGGACGGTGAGACTCCAGCGGTACGACAGCAAGGAAAAAGGAGTTAAGATTGTGAGTGATATTGAGACGGAGTAGATTCAGAGATCATGGGGTCTTGTATCTAGGCCTTTGAGAGAGAGGACAGCCATCTATGGCCTTTTGTTAGTTATGGTGATCTAACTTACCAGTGTTTAGGAGCAGCAGTATTGTAATAAGTAGTATCTATGCTGCTACTTAGTACTTGGTGGTAGCAGTATTATGTCATGATACTACTACTTTTCTATGTTTATCCAGTAGATCACTAAGTTTTAGTAGTAGTACTATTAGTCTACTAGTTTCATTGTGTATTTGGTAATTCGGTAGTAATTTCTATAATATGGTATTTTCTTGGCCCTTTTAATGTGATATGTAGTCCTTCTTTCTCTCTTCTAGTATCCCCAGTTCTGGTTGCTAGTGGTTAGGTTTTATCTTAATTTTGTTATTACAATTTTTAAAATTTTTGCAAGTATGTTCTAGATTAGTTTTTGTTTTTTCCTTCTATTTTTTTGTTTGATTTATCCTTCTGCTCAAGTAGTTTGCTTTCCTTCCTTTATTATTATAACTGACTTACATGGAAAATTGGTTGTGAACATATTTTCTGAGTATAATCACGATGAAGCTGTGGAGAAGGTAGTAAATTTCATGGATTCATACTGTATTAGTAAGGAAAATTTTGGTACTATATTGGAGATATCCAAGTTCAAGGTAAAGCTAGTGTACAGCATGTACTTTGCTTTCATTCTTTTACTTGCTGGAAAATGCTACTTATACAAGTCCATTGTCAATGTGCAGCAGGGGCACCCGAGTCCTATGGATGGAATTCAGCCTGCTGTCAAAGCTGCTCTAAAGGCTTGCAAAATAGGGACAGACTCACGTAAGATTTGGACCGCGGATATGGTGACTGTCCAGAGAAGGGATGGGAGCGGCTCACATGTGATTAAGACTGCAGCTATGGTTCCTGGGACAAAGAAAAGAGGGCCTTAAGAAACGGTGTTGCTGCTATTCTGGAACCAGTGGAAGAAAGTTTAGCAGAGGAAAATGGTGATGCATTAGAAGAAAATGAAGAGAACCCTTCAGATGCAAAGGACCTGGTTACTTTCCGCAATTGCTGCTGCCAAAACTTCCCTTCTCTTATGGCATGACATATCTTCCAATCTTCCAATATGGAAGTCTTTTAAAGAGAATATATTAGATCAAAAGGGTTTTTTTTTTAATTGCGTTTTTGTCGAATTTTATGTCTTTATTCATTTTCTTGAAGTATGAGCATTGAATGTTGCTAGACAAAGCATATGCTTAATTGACAATCTATCTTTTGATATCAGGAGTGGAATATGTAAGCCTATGGATGCATTGTGTACTTTGGTAGCCTAATTTGTACCGCCAGGGTAATTCTCCTGACTCTTGTCTTGATCTATATTCTGAGTTCATCTTGACTTTAGAATGTCAAAAAAAAAAAAAAAAAATCAAATCATTACAATGACTCTTCTAATCCATTTATTTTACGTACATTATTCCTAATTCCTACTAATGACAACATATTTCCATAACACAGTGCACACTCTTTGTTCCTGGCTTTTCAGTGCAGAAGAAAGCGTTTTGTTTTTCTACTTCTCATTCTATTCTGGAGCACGATGAAAATGACAAAAAAAAAAACTATTATTGGTCATTTGGGATGGCTATTACGATGTATTCAAGTTTGTTTGTGTTACAAAAGTTTTTGGAAAATAGTCTTTCTCTGAAACCTATTATTGGTTCTAAAAATACTAAGCGTGATCAATATTGCTAGTTGACCCAAAAAAAAAAAATGATAGTCAATTCAAGTGTGTGTTTGGATTGTAAATTATTTGAGATATTTTTACTGTAGCACTTTTTGTGATGTGATGTATGTGAGATAAAAAGGTAATTGAGAAGATAAAAGGTGCGTTGAAAATTGTAATGATGATATAAGCAAATAAATTTTGACAAATAATCATCTATCCAAACAAACCTCTCAAAGTTTTCCATCAAAATGGAATTATAAGAGGAATGTCAATTGCCCAAACTAATCAATTGTATTATTAGTCATCTCTTTTAACATACTAGTTATCTCTTTTAACGTAATATTTGCTATAATTCTTCTGATTTTGAACAGAAAAATTTTTAAATTTTACATTTATTTTCCCTCCTTCCTCCATTAGTGTTGAATGATAAGAGGAATGTCGTTTGCCCAAACAATTCAATAGTATTATTAGTGTTGATTTTTACAAATAATTAAGTGCCATTGGGTGGTGAAGGCAAATGTATTTTCAAAACCTTGACTTTGAGACGAGAGGACACATATGGATGTGAAGCATCGGCAGGCAAACAGCAAAGGATAGACATGACACTATATACAAGCAGCTGCTATGCAATTGTGGAGATTTGACAGCGTACACGTGCCATGTTTACTCGTGACTTTACATGCACTGAAAGAACGTCTTAATATTACCCGCGTGCTTTAATAAGATTAATGTCTTAATATTAATTTGTGTTTAAATAGATACTAAAATTGGCTCGACCTGCTCTGTTTGGATAGAAAATTATTTTGGAATAATAGTGTAGTACTTTCTAAAGTGTGATATTTATATATATAAAAGCATATATATATAAGCTAAAAATATGGTTAAAAAATGAAATAATAATTTAAAAATATATTTACCATGTAACTAAAAAATTTTGAAAAAGTGGGTATCCAAACAGAGAAGAAATTTTTTTTCTTCAAAAAAATTAACCAAAAATATTGGTTCATGGTGAGTAAAATTATAGTTACTAGCAATAGATATCATATTTGCTTGCTAATTACTATTCTGTATCTAAATTTTTGAGTATTAATGAAATCCAGAGTGGAATTTGCACTCGAGGTAAAGTCTTATACGAATTTTTGTTGGTCTGGTTGGTGAGAATTAAGAAATGTACCTTCAATTTCATTTCCAAAATATGAAGGCTCGGAAAACCTCATACGTATCCTAAATTACATGGACCTACATATTACCATGTCAAGCTGTTCATTTAATGCTAAATTGAATGAGAGTATCTCTAATCATTTAACCAAATTTGATTGTATAGTATTTGTAGTCCTTTAACCATGTAATTGGCAGAAACCCGTAACTGTGGTTTCCACTAAGTGCCTAGAAAACACTAAAATTCCTATTATCATGGTTTAAATTAGGCTTTAAACTTTTTTGAGGTTGTGAGGAATTTTCAGATAATTAGTTTTCGTATTTCTGCCATTCAAAGTAGGAGTCACTATCACTAATGTTCATTAATGGATGAAAAGTATGCACATGAGAGGGCCAAGCGTTGTCATCGTCTCAAATCAAGTCCTGGAAAAATAAAAGGGCACCAACGGAATCACATACTGGCTCTGGTTGAGGGTGTCAATGAGACCATTCAAGCTCAACACCATACTGTTCAACCTTATTTGATTATTTTAACAAATTTAAAATTTTGTTTAAATTTTGTTTAAATTTTATTTATTTATTTGTCGAAATTGAATTTGAACGAGTTTTTTTTATCGAGTTTAAATATTATCGAATATAAAATATTGTTTAAGTTTGGGTCGACTAATTGGTGAACCAAATTCGAACGAGTTTTTACTAGACGGAGTTCAATTCGAGTATCAAATTGTTTGGTTCATCTTTCAACCCTAATTCTAGCCCTGAATCGGTAATAAATGGAGATATGCCAAATTCAAAACATAGAATTTGAGTTTTCATTGCAGCTAATATTTTAAGAGAACTCAAATTCGGTTCAATTTAAAGCCAATGTGTTCTATATGATTTGAATACAATTTTTTTGCAATGCAATCTGAAATTATATGAAATTGAGAATTAACATTTTAAACCTAATTAAATTTTGTAAACGTGATACGAATAACATGGACATTAGATGCAAGGATAAAGAATTTACTTGGAAAGCAATTCATGCAAACTTGTTTAATTACACATGTTA